AACAGTGCCTAAGGCACTTGACTGCTAACCAGAAAGCTGGCGGTTTAAACCCACCAGCCACTCCTCAGAAGGAAGATTGGGCAATCTATTTCCATAGTGATACTGCCTCGGAAACCCAAGGAGGGGTCACTATGAGTTGGGTCCAACTCGACGGTACATAACAACAACAACGACTACTAATGACTTTTAGCATTTTTCCATGTTTATAACATTCATTTGTGTATCTTCTTTGGACAAATGTCTATTTGAGTTCTTTGCCTATTTTTAAATTGAGTTATTGTCTCTTTTGTTGTTGAAGTTTAGTAGTTATTTATATGTTCCAGATTTAAAACCTTTATCAGATATATGATTCCCAAATATTTTCTCTCATTCTGTAAGTTCTCTCTTTCCTTTTGTGGTGCAGTGAATTACTTGGTATGGCTCTTCTGGACATGGTCTTTGTGGCTCCCCCCAGATGACTGGGTCGAGTTATGCAAATGTGTGGTAATCTGTGGCCTACCAAGGGGATTGGGTAGCTGTTAGTAATGTAAATAAGGTACATGGCACACTTGTGGGAATGGGACCATAGAAATAAAGTATATAGAACCCTAATATGGGGATTGGTCAATTTTGTCATTCCATTAGGTTTAAAATGAGTCCTACCAGAGGCAGAAGGGGGGAATCTCACCACTATCAAGAGAGAGAAGCCGGGAGTGTGTCCTGGGACTCAAGATTCCTAAGCTGAGACAACGGCAGATATGACAGCAGAGAGGCAGTGGCAGCACAGGCAATAGAACCAAGAGTCTGCAGGAAACTGAGTGGCAAGCTTGCTGGCCCATAGAACAAGAAAGTTGAATGCCTTTGGGCAGGAGACTTACTGGTGGAGTGAGGTGCATCTAGGTTCACTTATCGGCAAAGCTAAAAGAGCTTTGTGATGCTTGCCCGAGTGGAGCAGAGGCCAGGCCAAGAGGCCAAGGGCCAAAGAGAGGTGTGCCTATGGCTGTGACTGAGGGGAGGCTGTCATGACTGAAGAATTATATCCTGAGCAGTCCTGAACCTGAATTGCAACGTGTTACTTCTCTAATAAACCCCATAACTGTAAATATTGCCTGTGAGTTCTGTGTGGTCATTGCAACAAATTATTGAACCCAGCAGAGAAGTAATGAGTGGTTTGGGAGGGACAGCTGGTGTCAGAATTGGTAAAATTTTGGAGGGTGGCAGGATGTCTGACTTTCTCCTCAGAGTCATCAGCCTTGGGTTGCTGGTGGTGATTTTCTTTCCTACTCAGGAAGTTAGAGGAGGTCAAAGAACACTGCCCCAATGTTCTTTGTGCCACTTTCTTGATAAAGTCTTTTGATGCACAAAATTTTTTAATTTAAATGAAGTCTAATTATCTATACTTTCTTTTGTTGCTTGCGCTTTTGGTATCGTATCTAAGAATCCACTGTCAAAGCAATATCTTGAAATTTTACTTCTGTGTTTTTTTCTAAGGGTTGTATGGTATTAGTCATTATATTTAGCTCATTTATCCATTTTGAGTTAATTTTCACATTTGCTGTGAGTTATGGGTACAACATTATTCCTTTGCATGTGGAGATCCAGTTGTCTCAGTTCATTTATTTTTGAAACCTTTAGAAAGTGGATAGCATAAAAGTTCCATAAAATTAGATACCTGTATCTTAAAGTATAAGAAAATATTTCCCAATTGTTAAATAATGAATTATGTTCTTGATATTAATAACTTTTTATTACTGATTACCTTTTAGGTATTGATTAAGTTTAGAGTACTATGCACTGTGACTTAATTTTAAATACCCATCAATACCTTAAATTTTTTTTTATATTGGTTAGAGTAGTGGAGTAGTGGTTTCAGATCTGAATAATAGCTGTAAGAAAATCTTTCCTTGTTGGAGCCGTAAAGGATTTGAGACGTCATGTAGACTAATCTTATACAGATTGGGAAAACTGAGGCCTTTCTTGCTGATGTACATTCTGGGTGTTTTAAGGTATTTACCATGACAAATAATTCCTGCAGTTACATACATTTATAATTATTATGTATTCAAAAAGTCATTTTTATATTGTTGATGATTTTGGTTTAAGGACAGATTAATGAGTACATGAAGATTGTTCAGGTCCTCTTATAATGGATCCTTAGCCTACATATTTTGTATTGAGTGTTCTTAACTGTCACTGAATAATAATAACTAACTTTGTTTTTCACTTTCAGTCTGTCATGTACTGAACCAAATGCTTTACTTTTACCAGTCCATTTTAATCCTCATATAATTCATCAAGTGTACTAAGTCTTAGTAAGTAACTTGCCCAAGGTTGCATAGTTTATAATTGGAAGAGCCCAACTGTGAAACCAGATGGGCTGAGTTTGGATGCTGAGTTCTTAACCACTCTACTATATCATCTTTTAATGAACAAAAGTGAATGAATTGCTGGAAATGGAGTTAAGTGACAACCATGGACACTCTTCCATTCCTCTGACAATAGTTTATTTTCTCATGGTGTCAAAAGCTTTTGAGGCACCAGTCCTCAAGCTCTGGCTTACACAAGAGTCTTACCTTGAACATATAAGGCAAATCTGAAAAAACTAATTTAATGAAAAAGGTGGTTTTCATCAATTCTAACATGCCTAAAGACTTTATTTGGTCATAAGCCAGACACTGGAGCTTTAAACTCAAAGCAAAATATCCTAAATTTTTTTATTTACTTAATGCCTAGCAGCAGAGGAGCCTGTACTTAAGGGGCCCAAGGGTATAGCCTGAAATCACCCACAGAAATTATTTTAAAATCTACATATTTAACTGTAAATTGCTTTTGAACATTTGGAAATAATGGTAGTAGAGACCCCATAGGTTTGTTACAAGAATTAAGGCAATAATTTATGCTTGACTACTAGCTGAAAGGTGGAAAGTTTGAACCCACCCAGAGGTTCCTTGATGACAGGCCTAGCAATCTGCTTCTGAAAGGTCACAGCCTTGAAAGCACTACAGAGCAGTTTTACTCTGCGCATACAGACTCATCATGAGTTGGAATCGACTTGATGGCAATTCACAACAACAACATTATTATTATACTATTCACAGGGCTACATACAGACTCCTATCCCAGTTATATAAGCCTGACCCAGAGCCAACACTAATGAAGTTAATCATCTTGAATTGCTGTGTTTTACATCTGTACCATCCCTTTCAACTTAGGTAATAAATTGAATTTGCCTTGCATCCAAAGTCATATTTTGTTTTTAAGATGAGCATTAATGTCTTTGGTTTAGTTATCCTCCACTATGACAGATTTTTCTAATAAATTATACGCCTAAAACTAAGAAACTCAGTTTCATCCAGTTGATTCAGACTCATGGTGAACCCCTGTGTTACTGAGTAGAATGGAGCTCCACAGGGTTTTCTTGGCTATAATCTTTAATGAAGAAGATTTGTAAGACTTTCTTTAGCTGTGCTGCAGGGTGAGTTCACACTGCAAACCTTTCAGTTAGTAACTGATCACAAACCATTCGCACTATGAACACACTTCAATTACACTGAAATCTGTGAGAGACAGAAGGACTCCCTTATTTTTCTGGGTTTCACAAGTTTTCTGTCATTGACAGGGTGCAGTCCTACTCCTTTCCTTCACTATATATTAGTGGAAAATATTTTTTTCTTCCCTGACAGAGAAGGTCTAGTAGTGTAGTGGTTAAGGCATTTGGCTGCTAACCAATAGTATAGTGGTTTGAACCCATCAGCTGCTCTGTGGAAGAAAGATGAGGTAGTCTGCTTCTGTAAAGATTTACAGCCTTGGAAACCCAATGGGGGTTGCTATGTGTCAGAATCGACTAGATGGCAGTGAGTTTGGTTTGGTTTTTTTTTTTTCCCCCTGACAGGTTTCCACAGTACACAGGTTCCAGATGTCACAGGTTGCACTGTACGGCTAGCATGTAGTAAAGACTTATATATCAGAAAATTTAGTATTAATACTTTCAAGGTGAAGATAGCTAGCACTTCACTTTTCCCTAACTCAGCAATAAAAGACAGAAAGAGAGAGAGATAACTGCATCCTGACTACAGTTGAGTAAATGAACAGGATGTCTGATTAACTAATTGTTCCTTTTAATATCATCAAGAAATCTGCTTACTACAGTATTTAAAAGGGCATGGAGGCAGCACCTTCTGACCTCCTCTAACTTCATGAGAGGAAGACAAAATCACCATCAGCAGACCAAGGCTTATTCCTGTGAGGTGAGGCATGCCATAACCTTCCAGCCTTTTAGCAATTCTGACACCAACTGTCCTTCCCACGGCACTCCGTATTTCTGTACTGTGTTCAATAATTCCATTGAAATGGCCAAACAGAACTCAAAGACAATACTCATGATTATGGAGTTTATTATGGAAGTAACAGGCTACAATTCAAGATGAGGAATGTGCTCAGAATACAATTCTTTCATCAAGAAAGTCTCGCCTCTGTTATGCTCTCAGTCATGCCTCCGTTGGCCTTTCAGCCTGGCCTCTGCCCTGCTTGGGCAAATGTTACAAAGCTCTCTTAGCTCTGCTGATAGGTACACCTAAGTGTACCCCACTCCGTGAGCAAGCTCCCTGCCCGAGGGCACTCAGATTTCTCGCTTTGTGGGACAAATAAGCCTGCTGCTTTGTCTTATACCTCCTGGTTCCACTGCAACCATCTCTCTGCCAGGGATCTCTCTCTGCCAGGTGTCTCTTCCAAGGAGGTCCAGTGCAGGAATTTCAGGTCCAAGGACACACTCTACTTCACCTCTAGCTCTTCTCTCTCGATGGCAGTAAGATCCCCTTTCTGCCTCTAGGAGGGGTCATTTTAAGCCTTTCACAGTGACAAAACTAACCAAGCTGAACATCAGAGTTCTATACACCATATTTTCATAGTCCCACTCATTAATTCAGTGGGAGTTACAAAGACTATGGCTACAAAGGCCGTACCAAGTAATTCACTGCATTGCATATGGAGAAAGAAATATAACACAGAACCATGAATTCTCCAGATTCATTGTTTTGTTTTGGCAACTCTCTTAAAACAGATGTAATCAACATTTCAAAATTATATTCAGTATAGTTTGTCTGTCTCCTATTACTATCAAAGTTTGTCTGTCTAAAGGAGTAATTAAGCATTCTTTGTTTAGAAGTAACCTCACCTTCCATGTGGGAGACCCTGATTCTACTCCCAGCCAGACACCTCATATGTAGCCACCACTTATCTGTCATCAGTAGAACCTCTCATGTTACTCTGGTACTGAATAGATTCAGGGGAGCTTCTAGACAAAAGTGGACTAGGAGAATGGTCTGGCAATCTGCTGCTGAACATCAGCCAATGAAAATGATATGGAACACATTTCATTTTGCATGGGGTCACCATGAGTCGGAGGCGCTGGCTTCCTGTATAGCAGGACCAGCAGGACCATAGGAGCTCTGGTGGCATAGTGCTTAAAGCACTTGACTGCTAACCAGAAGGCTGGCAGTTCAAACCCACCAGCCACTCCTCAGAAGGAAGATGGGGCAATCTACTTCCATAGTGATACTGCCTCGGAAACCCAAGGAGGGGTCCCTATGAGTTGGGTCCGACTTGACAGCACATAACAACAACATAGCAGGGCCATATTTAGCCTTTAATTATACTCTAGTTTTATTTACTAATTTTCCCCTAAATATGCCAAATTTATTGATGCATAACTGCTATGCAGTGCATCATAGCACTTTACTCAATTTTCAGGTATTAAATAATTAGTGTTTTAGCAACCAAACTAGCTCTAAATAGGAGTATTTCACACAATTCATAGCGAAGAGGCCAAGCAGAATCTTTAGAAGAAAATATATGGAAACTGAAGAGGATCTACCTTTAATGTTAAATTAAAATATCCCTTAACTCTTCTGTTTCTCTCGTATTTGCTTTCTAAGAAACACTATTTCTGTAGAATAGTTATCTGAATCTTCTTTTACAAATAATAGACATTTAAAGAAAACATGTATCAAAATATCAGGAAATTTTCTTTCAATAAATTGTATTCACAGTATCTCATACAAATGACTATTCTGAGGACAAGATTCATTTTTTTCCTTATCAGAGCCATATTGCTTGAATTAAGCATCATTTATATGCCACATTGAATTTTTCTTTCTCACAGGTTATTAAATACATCTTCCCCAATTTTTTTAATGTTTGTTTAAAAGATATTTTTTCGTGGACAGTCAAGTTGTTTTTACACAAAACGGAGTTGAAGCATTTAGGTCATTAGGAGAATGTCAGAGACCAGAGCTTCAGAACACATTTATCTTTGTAACTTAGAACAAAAGAACTGGTTGTCAGTATATACAAAAGATGTCTACGATAGAGTGTCAAATAAAAAAGGCAATATCTTCAGGATGATTCCATCTGTATAAGAACTATATTTGTATATATGCTGTGTATATGTGTGTGTGTTTTCATATACATTGAAAAATATCTGAAAAATATATACACAACTAATGTGATTAGATGACAGACAAAATCTTAACTTTTTATTTTCCATACTGAAGCATTTTTGGAATTTGTAAATTTTAAGCATGTATTATTTTTCAACAAAAAGGCAAAATTTAATACAAGAATCAAACAACGTTTGCAAAAAAATTGTTATTTGGTCAGGCAAGATTTATGTAGAGAGCTGAAACAGTGTCCCCATTTTTGAAAAGTATGAACCATCATTCCCTTGAGCGATACTTAGGGAAGATGGTCTGAGGGATCACCATACATCGGTGTTACGCGAAATGCATCATTTGCTAGCCAGTTCATGCTTTATTCTGATTGACATCTGAAGCATTTATATATAGTTCTTCTTTGCTAAACTGGGTGTTTTTTGGTTTTTTTTCTATTGTGATTTGG